TGATATCCATATTCACTTTGTGTTTTAGAGCTACTGGGTCTTGTCTAGTCAAATTCTAGACAGCCAGGAACAGATGTTATGCTTCTTTGACTGTAAAGTACCTCGCATGCTACCTCAGGAAACAGTGAAGCTGCAGAAACAATGGATGTGAAATCGCCAATGCGTGGCCCATAATCTGAAATGACTCATTTGTCCTACAACTATTCAATGACCTGTCCATCTACTCTTTTTTTTCCAGTACTTCTACTGTGATTTTATTTTATTTGAAATAAATTTTTATTTTTCCATTACAGTTCACGTACAGTATTATATCAGTTTCAGGTGTAAAACATAGTGATCAGACAATGACATAACTTATGAAGTGATCAATCACCCCAATAAATCTGGTACCCTCCAACACCGTACACAGTTATTACATTATTGACTATTTACACTTTATATCCCCACGACTTTTTTTGTAGTTAATTATCAATTTTGTACTTCTAAACCCCTTCCTTTTTCACCCTTTCTCCCCAAGTCCTCTCCCATTTGGCAGCCATCAAAATGTTCTCTGTATCTATGAGTTTGTTTCTGTTTTGTTTGTTCATCTATTTGCTTTTTTTGATTCCACATACAAGTGAAATCTTGGATTTGGCTTTCTCTGACTTACCTCACTTTAGGTCCATTCATGTTGTTGCATGTGGCAAGGTTTTATTTCTTATGGCTGAGTAAAATTCCGCTGTATAATGTACCACTTGTTCTTTATCAATTCAACCACTGAAGGACACTTGGGTTGCTTCTCTATCTTGGCTATAGTAGATAATGCTGCAGTGAACATATGGATGCATATGTCTCTTCAAATTAGTGTTCTGACTTTCTTTGAATAAATACCCAGAAATAGAACTGCTGGGTCCTTCTTCGTCTTTTATTACAGCGTTTGCTTTAAAGTCTATTTGGTCTGGTGTAAGTGTTGCTATCCCAGTTTTTGTTCCCCATTTCATTTTTCATGAAATATCTTTTTTTCTATAGCTTTACTTTTAGTCTGTGTGTGTGTTTCAAACTGAAGTGAGTCTCCTGTAGGCAGAATATGTAAGGGTCTTATTTTCTTTTTCTTGCTATTACATTTTTAAGATTTCATTTATTTTTAGAGATAGGGGAAGAGAGGGAGAGAAACATTATGTGAAAGAGAAACATCGACTGGTTGCTTCTTACATGCCTCCAACTGGGGACTTGGCCTGCAACCTAGGCATGTGCTCTGGCTAGGAATCAAACCGGTAACCTTTTAGTTCACAGGTAAATAAATGCTCAGTCCACTTAACCATACCAGCCAGGGTGGGTCTTGTTTTCCTATCCATTCAGCCATTTTATGTCTTTTAATTGGAACACTTAATCCATTTACATTTAAAGTAATTATTGACAAATATGTAGGTATTGCCATTTTATTATTCATAGTTTTGACCTTTCTTTTCCTTCTTCTCCTTAAACCGATCCCCTTAACATTTCTTGTAACACTGGTTTGGTGGAGATTAACTCTTCGAGCTTTTTCTCATCTGGAAAGCTCTTTATCTGTCCTTTGATTCCAAATGATCACGTCTCTGGGTGGTTATCTTGATTGTAGTTTCATGCTTTTCATAACTTTGAATATTTTGTGCCAATTCTTCCTGGTCTGTAAAGTTTCTATTAAGAAATCAGCTGAGTTTTATGGGAGCTTCCTTACAGGTAACTAGCTGCTCTTCTCTTGGTGATTTTAAGACTGTCTTTTTGCCTTAACTTTTGGCATTTTAACTATGATGGGTCTTGGTGTGGGCCTCTCAGGGTTCATCTTGCTTAGGACTCACTGTTCTTCCTAGGCTTTCATGTCTGTTTCCTTTGCCAGGTCAGGGAAGTGTTCTGACATTACTTTTTCAAGTAGGTTTTCAATTCCTTGCTTTCTTTCTTTTCCTTCTGGTACCCCTATAATGCAATTATTGCTTTGTTTGATGTTATACCATATGCCCCTTAAACTATCCTCATTTTTTGGATTCCTTTTTCTGTTCTAATTGGGTATTTTCTACTATCTCACCTTCCAAATCACTGATTTGATTCTCTGCTTCATCTAATCTACTTCTGAGTCCCACTAATGTAGTGTTAATTTCAGTTATCATATTTTTAATTTCTCACTGATTCTCTTTTGTGTTTTTATCTCCATTTTTTATATTACTTATCTATTTGTTGAAGTTCTCATTAAACACCCTTATAACCAGTGTTTTGAACTCTATATGGGAGATTGCTTATCTCCATTTTTATTTCTTTTTCTGGAGTTTTGTCTTGTTCTTTCATTTGAGACATGTTTCTCTGTCCCCTCATTTTGACTGCCTTCCTGGTAGAGCTGCAGTGCCTCCCTGGTCACCTGAGCCAGATATTCCAGGAGTATCCCTTTTGTGGGTTGCGTGTGCTCTCCTGTCATAGTTGAATGGACAGTTCTTTGACAAAATGATAAAACTCAGATACAGAGGTTAATAGGTAGCAGGAGTTGGGAGTGGAATTCAGATCTCCCATAAGCAACCCAATATCCAGATACTTTACATTTAGGAGATGGGAAACCAGGACAGCTTGTCCCACAACGTCATTCCAAATGAAAATACACTACCTTCAGCTCTGCTTATTATTTCAAGCCATTTATTTCAAGATATAAACAAGGAAGCAGTTAATATTAAAAAATTAAGCATTCCAGGAAATACACAATGCATCATTACCCAGAGCTATAAAAACAGAAGGGTGGAAAAAACCCACAAACACTTCACATACTGAAATGATCAGGTATAGAATTTAAAATAGGTATGTTTAACATGTTCAAAGAAAGAAAAAAGGGGCAAAAAAGTAGGGGCAGGTGGCATTTCAGCAAACTGAAGTTCTTCAAAGCTTCTAGAGAAGATGTGAGCCCAGGTCCATGGCCACAGGCCACGCAGCCAAGCTCCATGCCATCACAGCGATGCTGTCCCTGGGTCCAGACGGAAACCCGATCATGAGCAGTTACACACAGACCACCAACACTATCATGAAAACAGTGCCAAAGGCACAGACCTTTTTCTACTCACAGAAAATGCAAGTGAACCAAAAATGCGCTCTCTTTTTATTTCTTTAAGGGACAGCTATAAGAATCACCAAATAATCACAAAAGTTCCTTTGTGCCCAAGACATTAAAATGTTTAAAAATCCAAAGAGGGAAGGATACACGTAATTTGAACAAGTTCTAAAATGTACATATTAAAGTTTCTACTGAGCAATTATCAGTTCAAAATTATGGATGAAAGGCAAGCAATGAGAAAATGTTTTTAAGTGGGGATAAGCAGACGAGTGAAAGACTAAAATCACAGAAATAAACTAAATGCCATTAACATGTCCTTCTAAAAGTAACTTCCATTTCTAAAATATCTCTAGGTGCATTCTACTCTTATTGCAGGCTTTCAAAGTATTCATTCATTCATCTTAAAATTACTTATTGAGTACCAAGCCGAAGAAGATCTCAGGAACCTGTCTGAACTCATGGTCCATCTGGGCCATACCCAGCCCATCTTATCGCCCCTATACCACGCGTCCTAAATCCAATCTGGTCACAGCCTCCATGCTTCTCAAAGTATCAGTGGTAATGGACCACTGCTGCAGTTTTTGTTGTTTTAAGGTTCCAATCTGTCACAAACTTATACTTTCAGAAATGAATGTTCAGATAAAGATAGACAAAATAGAAGCCTGGAATTTTCATTTATAATAAAAAAACAAATCTACTGTGTAAACTTGCTATAAAAATGTTTAGTTTCAATTACAGTACCTCTATCAGTAACAAAGTGTGACCCAAAGGTCACACTTTGAACAGCTCTGCTTCAGCATTGGCTGGTGTAGAAACTGACTGGGTCTTCACGTAATGGTTCCCTTCCACTAAAACCATCTCAATATTGTTCACATTTCCTATCTAAGTTCTAGTCATTCTTCACACTTAGCCCCAAGCCCACGCTGTGCTCAATCAAGTCGACCCAGTGGTTCTCAACTGGGATTCTGCACCGGCTCCAGGGGACATCTGTCAATGTCTGGAGATATTTTTTTCACAACTAGGGGGCGCTACTAGCATCTAGTGGGCAAGGGCTGGGGATGCTGCTACCCCCACAACAAAGAATGATCCAGCCCAAAATACAGTAGTGCCAATGTTGAGAAACCCTGACTTTCACCAACCACTGCCCTCCCAGATCATCTCCTTTACCAAACTCCCATTACACCCACGGTCACCACCAACCCAGCCTTCAATGATACACAGCCCAGCACCATTCAACAACAGTTGATTGTATCTGTGCCTCTTCCCCCGACTTAACTATACATTCCTCTGGAGGGTGCAGACCCTGTGTGTATCACACCTACATCCCACAAGGGACTCAGCAGGGTAGCTTCAGAGGAGCTACTCATCACATACCTGTCGGCCGATTTGTCTCCTTTCCCACCTGCTTGATAAAATAGAAACGGCAATAACTAACATCAACACTTGTACTGAACTACTCTTGGTTGGTATTTTTAAAAAAAGAACTTGCATCACTTAGCAATGTAAAGCTATGATAAAACATTAGCAAAAACATTGAATGAAAGATGTGGGTGGTTTGATTTTATAGTTTTGATATTCTCTGTTAAGATTACATATTTACTTTTCTTAAGGAAAGAAGTCAGCCAAGTGCAAAATATGTTCTGAATGCCACCATGGAAATTATATACAACTGTTCATACACACGCTTCTTGTTAATTAGAGGACACTTTGCAGAAAAGCTGCTCTGGCAAAACTTGCTTTAATAATCAAAATCCTCTACAGTAAAGAGGAAATCCTGCTGAGCATAGTATTTTCCACAGACATCAGCCAAAAGCCATGCCTTTATCCACAGCTGGAAATGCTGCTGTGTATCACAGCGGGGGTCTGGAAGATGTTGCTCCCATTTCTACATTAGCCCATCCTCAAATGTGTGCAAGTGATCCTATAAGATGATCTAGAAATTACTTCTACTTACATTTGAAAAATAATTGGAGGGACGACAGATCATTTTCACAATTACATTTTGCAGGGGATCATATAATTAGCTCCTATTTCCACAGCAGGCACAAAGTGAGACCTCTAACAAGTGTGGAGGCTCTTACCTGCATTTGGTGGACCCGCCCCCTCTATTGGGTTGGCTGTGTCGTCAGCTTTCTCCGCCCTCCGTGGGCTGCGTACTGAGCTAGTATAGTATGCCTTGCGTGCTGAAATCCAACCATCTCACCTCAGCTGGACACTTAATAGTTTTGATCTTTCACAACCACCACTAGCTTTCACAGCTTTTGCAAATCTCCACAGGTTCTAGTCCTTCCCACAGATGACCCTAATTCCTGCATTCCAGGTAAGACAAAGTGTCTTGAAGAGTACCTCCAAATTCTGGTGTCTGTACCTCAAATTTCTCTATGCCTTCAGCCACAGACATATGCATTCTCTATGCATTCCATCTTGACTCAAAAGAGTAAGTATAGAAATTAATAAAAGTGAATTGAAGAGAGAGAGAGCGAGTGAGCACAGAGGGTCAGCACAAAGGAAAAAGAGAGACTCTTAAAAGGTCAAGGAGCTATTGTTCACTCAACAGGTTTTCACAAGACCTTGCAAAGACCTTTCCATGTGCTAGACACTGCCCTGGGCACTAGGGGAACATAGGTGACAAAATGAGGCCTTTAAATTGATGCAATGCCCAGTCTGAGGAGGGGGCAGGGTGAATGGATCTTGAGAGCAAGTAACTTCCAAACGAAACGGGCAGCAACACAGAAGTGCCTACGCACGGGGCCTGGGCAGCTGAAAGGCGGGGCTCTGTGGGGAAGGTGTACAGGGAGGGACACGAGGCGACAGCAATGTATGAGAAAAGAACAAAAGCACAGTATCCGACATAGAAAGAGAAGCAGTGTAAAATAAATACATGGCGAAGAGGAAAAAGAGTCTGCAGCTGTACTGGAGGGTAGAAAGAAAGGAAAAGAGAAGGCAAAAGAGGCGTTGCACCACGGAGACAGGAGCAGATAAGTCAGTTTCTCCTGGAAGTACAGATTGAGGCTTTCTGTATAATTGACGCTCACCCCTTCAAACACAAACTTGTTATTTTATTTTAAACTATTTTTAGTTGGAAATCTTTCTAAAATGTACCACATGTTCCTGCACTGTTCGGCAGAGTGCATCAAACCAAAATATGCCAAACCTGATTGAATCTGTTCTGGATGAAGAATCACCATTATGATCCATTTTTGTATTTGACGTGGTGTCCTGACATTCTCAGAGTCCACTTACGTGTGAAGCCTGCTGCTTTACTTTATATCAATCGGCCACAGCTGTGCTTCTGGAATTCTCCACGTCCGCCTTCAGAAGGTAGCCGTCACCTCTCAGAGCTTCTTCTCCATGGGGACAAAGACCACTGTGGCCTACGTCCTTCACACTGTACTGGGCAAGGCTGTGAAGGGCAGCCTGCAACCTGCTTAAGGTGGAACAGCCAACTGCCTCTCAGTGGCCTGTCTGCTTCCTTCTAGGTCTCCCGCCTCATTCCACCAGGGGATCCAGATCTGATATCTGGATGCGAGAAGTCATACTATAATAAATGACCTATAATAATAGAGATCCTTCATGCCGCTGATTTAAGAAGCAGTAAAACCGATCATGTCCCTCGCAGCCTTCATATTCCCCAAAGCACACTTCTGTCTACATGCTCTAGTCCAGTCCCACTTTGACATGGTCACGAACTCGACACAGCTTCATATCTTTGATGCAGAAGCTACAGCAACAGTATTTCTTTTTCACTTGTTCAATAAACACTATATGCCAAGTTTTCTAACAAGAAATGTGGAGGAATAACAAAGACAAATGGAATAGTCCCTAGCCTCAAAGAACTTAGAACTTGTAGTTCAAACAACCTGGGTAGAAAATAATTATAACCAAGGGTGTACTGTACTGAGGCCACAAGAGAGTTCACGGGCTGTGCCACAGAGGGCTGGGGAGGTAGAGTCCTCCCAGTGTGGAGGGCAGAGGAGGAAGGGGGGGTGTGGGTGCACTCCACTGGGAAGCTCCTGTGCTTCAAATGAAAGAGGGGACTCTGCCTAGTCCCAATGCAGGGTGAGCACTGTCAAGGCAAAGGAAATGGCAATGGGAAAAGACACACAAGGCAGGGAGAAAAAAAGCCTGGTGCATTTACACAGTAGCCCAAACGATACTGACAGAATCATGCTGCAAAGGCAGGTCAGAATCAGATCACAGAGCTGCCCGAGATACCAGGCTAAAAAGTTTGGTCTTGAGGCTATCAGCTCTCAAGGGCCAATGAGGTTTCTCTAAGCTTTCTGAAACTAACACACCAATTTAATCTTTTAAAAGGATGAGGCTTCCCTCCTTCCCCCTTTAATGGAAAAGGAATGCAAAAGGTAAATTATTAATCATCTCATTCCTGTTAATTATCTCTTGAACCAAGCTCGCTATTAAAATATCACTCAGGAGCTAACTATAGAGCATCCATTTGTCCTGCTCTTACACTACAGGAAATGCCAATGGAAAAGGAGCCATTGAGTCTAAAACAAAGGGCGCAGGGACGTACAAATCAAATCCACGTCTGAGGAAGAACTGGGAGAATGACACTCATTCCCAGTCACGAACTAATACAAAATATTTTGGAAACAAAAAGTCTTTTAACCAATATTGTATGTGCCCGGGGGAGCCTTTTATTTAAGGGAAATCTTCTAAAGTCTTAAAAACAGCCACCTTCCCAACTCGGGAGATGCTTTTTTCTGTCTAGCTTTGAATATGACTTTCTTTGCCTTCATCCCAATAAGTATACCTGCCCTTGAGACTTATGGACAGGTTGGGTCATTTTAGCACTATATTCACATGACTGTGTTGGCCTCTGTTTTCTGTGTTCATCTTTTTTCCCAGTCAAGTTATGAGTTATTTGTTGAGGGTGGGGAGGTAGAGTAACACCATGTACTCATTCTGCACCCTGAACATGAAACTGGGCAGTGGGAAGTTCTCATAAACATGTAAGAACTGATGAACTCAACTGATTTCCAAAATAGATATCCCCTAACAACTCAATTCTGTGTTATTCACATTGGTTTGTGTATGGAATGGAAGAGAAAAAAAAAAACCCTCAAAGCTAGGAAAAGCCTTTAAAAAAAAACCTAAACCAGCTGTTGAAAACACCAACATTATCGCTCATCAGGAAAATGCAAATCAAAACCACACTAAGATATCACCACACACCCACTAAAATGGTAATAATCTAAAAAAGAGAGACAACAACAAGTATTGGTGAGGATGAAGAGAAACCGGAACCCTCACAATTACTAGTGAAAATGTAAAATAAAATAGCCGCTTTGGAAAACAGTTCGGCAGTTCCTCATAGTGTTAAATACAGAGTTACCATATGAACCACTAATTCTACTCCTAGGTATATATCCAAGTGAACTGAAAACATATGGCCACACAAAAACGCATACAGAAATGTTCAAAGAGTATTTATAATAACCCCAAATGGAAAAAAAAAAGCCCAAACATCCATCAAATGATGAACTGATGTGTTATATTCACACAGCGGAATACTATTCACATGTACAAGGAAACAAAGTGCTGATGCATTCTACACCACACATGAACTTTGACTACATTACACTAAGTGAAAGACAACAGACCACAAGGGCACATACTGTATGATTCCATTTACATGAAATGTCTAGAATATGCAAATCCACAGACAGAGCAGATTAGTAGTTGCCAGGGGCTGCGGGGATGAAAGAATGGAGAGTGACTGCGAATGGACTTGGGGTTTCTTTCAGGGGTGATGAAAGGTTTTGGAAACAGACTGTGGTGATGGGTGCCCAACAGTGAATATACTAAAAGTCACTGATACAACAGAAAAGGGTGAATTTTATGGTATATGACATCACAGTCAGAAAACAACAAGAACAATATCATGAGAAACCTGAAGTCCAGAGAAGCTAACTTGTCCAAAGACACAAAGCTAGTTATACGGCATCAACAGAACCACACTCCAAGTCTCCCGCCCCCCATGCAGTATTCTAGGTCCACAATACACCACTTTAGAAGTATCAGGACAAGCAGTATAAACTTGACACAGACATTTAATAGCTCATACCTCATCAGAAGAGGAAGATGAATTAAATAATCTCTTCAGTTCCTTCCAGTTTTAAGGCAATCTGGGTTTTCTCATCTCATGTGCATTTCCTCTCTGCTCGTACAGATTAGAGGAGGGGTTCTCCATTGGGTGATTTTCCTCCCCAGGGGACATTTAAGAATGTCTGGAGAAGCTTTTGGTTGTCACAACTGGGGTGCTGGGAAACTCCCAGCACCCAGCAGGTAGAGTCCAGGCACACTGCTCTGGGACTGCAGTGCACGGGACACCCTTCCATAACACAACATGGTTATGCGATAGAACCATAAAATGCTCAGATCTTCTTATAAATGCATTGCATCAAACTCAGGACCCACGGTCTAATAATTTAAAGAAAACTGTTTAATTAAAGCTTAATTATTTAAAGTTGAGAATTCACAAAATAATTCTCTTGAAAATTACTGCTGGCTTAAACTTAGACTTAACTCATATTATTAATAGCTGGCATTTCACTAAGTTCCAGCAACTAAAATGTGGATACTGAGATCCAGAGAAGTTAAAAGACTTGCTAAGCTACCCTCCTAGTTTGTACCCAGGTCTTTGGGTTCCCAAAATCCACATCTTTTCTTCATACCTTGCTTGCATCACACAAATTTCTTCTGTTTACCAAATTTATGAGGCTCTGTCTGTAAATTACATGTAAAGTATCTGATCTGTGCCAAGTGTATGAACAGCGGCTCTGCATCCCCGCTCCTGTGGGCCCTCCTGCGGGCCCTCCTGCCTGCCTGTGGGTGTTGACCATGGTATATTCCCTTTAACCACAGCAGCAGCCTGCACTCCCACAGCCCTCCTTCCGTCCCCTCCAACCACTGACAGCCCTGACCCTGGCCTCCTACTTGCTGTACACTTTTGCTTTGAATTCCCACAGTAGACTCTGATATCTTAATAAACTCTACCAAATGGATACTTTATTTGCAGGGTAGAAAACTG